AAAAAAGCGCAAAATTGTTTAAAAAAAGGAAAAATAAAGCATGACCAAAAATGTATTTGAATTAGTTGTAATACTGAATAAAAMWAATTGAAAAATTAATTTAAATTAAAAAAAGAATTCACTAGGTACCATGTATTTGGCAAGATTTTTGGTTGTAAAACTGACTATTGTTTGAAAGAATGTTTTTATACATATATAGAAAACCTATTACTAATAACTAATAAGTGTTAAACATTGATGAATTTTCCTTAATAGCGGTGATTACCCTTGTTTTCATCCTAGGAAATCATTTTATATATGAAAACCAATAACTGTTTTCAGATATTTTGATAATTGCCGCTATCAAATAAAAAATAAAAGTAGAACATTAATATTCTGGCATTGTCGTCTTTTTCATAGTAATAACATCTTATAATTTTGTTTGGCATACCTAATATTATCGCTGACAGCTGTTTGTTACTCGCTCAATATTATTGAAATGTATATTTGTCTGAAAAATTTTTCATTAGTTTCTTGTAGGTATACTAACACTACATATCTGCCAAATAAATCAAAATTTGTGTTATTTGTTTGTAAAATCATCTTGCGGTGATTTTTATTTCTACGCCGAACGGTTTTTTATCTATCTATTGTATCTATTGTAAACTATCTTAGTACCTATCTTGTAAAATCTATATAGCCTTGAGCTCCTTTTCATTTTTCCTATGATTTTTCAGATTTGACTGAATAAAAAATAACCAATTATTTGCATGATAACAATAAAAACATTTTTTATCACCTATATCAATTGTATTTTACAATATATCTAATTATGTATGTACGATACTGTCATTGTAAACCGGAAAATATTTAAATTAAATTTGAATTTATTTTCAACGTTTCTTTCGTTTGGTATAGTATAAGTGTATAACACGCTCTCAGTGACCCTATTCTAACGATGTTACCTATATTGTTATTATAAATAATATTAGCCAATAATAAGAGCAAATGCCAAACTAATTTTAGACACCATAGATTTTATTGCTTGTTAYTTATAGGTATCCATTTATTTGTTAATTTATGTTATCGACTTGACGATGTTTAATCTTAAAACATAATACTACAATTTTAACTTTGAACTTTTTTGACGAAGTTATTTACACTGCGGTAGTACTGCACTACATTTAATAAACTATTATGATCTAAAAATATTACTTATAAATATATGATAAATTCATAACATAAGTCCTTTGTTGCATTTGGAGAAATAAATAAAATAATCTGAAATGAGTATAGAGTAAAGTCTAAATTAAAAAAGCGGGTAAGTGGATGTCGCTCTGCTGTACATTAGGTGGTGGGGTGAACCTCTGACTAGGGTAGGTTAGATTTGAATGCAATGATAAGTATCATTGTATACGAAAAACGATTCTGAACGGA